TCTGGGCCCTGCAGCTCGAGGAGCATCCTGCAAACTTTGCGGAGCACGTGGCCGCCGGTGGGCTAGGGTTTAGGGTTTAGGGTTTAGGGTTTAGGGTTTAGGGTTTAGGGTTTGGGGTTTAGGGTTTAGGGGTATGGAATTGCGCTCTAGGCTCAAGAATTGACTTCGGGTTGGGCTCTGACGCAGCACCCCAAACTGCGAAGCGCGGGCTAAGCAAGGGCTTAGGGTTTAGGGTTAAGGGTTAAGGGTTTAGGGTTTAGGGTTTAGGCGCTGCTGCTTATGTTGGCCCATTGCAGTTCTGCAGTCACTGGGCTATAACTCCAAGCTAAGGGCTGATGCCTCGGGGCACCTCATAGACGTTTTGCTGCAGCTGCCGCTGCAGCAAGGGGGCCCCTCTGGGGGCCCCACTGATAGTCCCACCCAGGGCCTCCCCGGGGGGCCCCCAAGGGGGGCCCCAAACAGCCCCCTTGAAGAGTCCTCTGGGGGCCCCCTTGAGGGCCTCCAGAGTGTCACTGAGGCCCCCTCTGGGGGCCCCTCTGGGGGCCCCTCTGGGGGCCCCTCTGGGGGCCCCTCTGGGGGCCCCTCTGGGGGCCCCTCTGGGGGCCCCTCTGGCTGGGGGCCCCTCTGGGGGCCCCAGTGCCCCTGAAGGGGCCAGCAGCAGCTGCATGCAAGTGGCGCTGCTGTGCCACGCCGAGGCGCAGCTGCAAGGGGCCCCCCAGAAGGCTGGGGTTGCTGCTTCTCCGTTGGGGCCCTCCGTGCTGAAGCACCGCCACCTGAAGCGGCAAGGTAGGATGCGGGCGCTGCTGCTGCTGCTGCTGCTGCTGTTGCTGCTGCTGCTGCTGCTGCTGCAAGGACGCAGTTGCTCCGTGCAGCAGCGCGGGCAGGCGTATTCTGAGTGCTTTTTTGAGCCAGGCAGATTGGCTGAATTGGAGAGCTTAGGGCTCAGGGTTTAGGGTTTATAGGGCCTAGGGTTTAGGGTTTAGGGTTTACAATGGTGCATTCGGGGCAACCGTAGGACGCCATCTACTCGTCTTATTTGCTCGCACCTTCATTGCTGCTGTTGCTGCTGCTGCTGCTGCTGCTGCTGCTCTCATTTATGGGTGCTGCTTTCGCTGCAGGGTTTCATGTGGTGCACTTGTCTTGGGGTGTCTGGCGGGTAAGTGGCTGCGGGGATCAGCAGCAAATAGCTGTTTGCTGCTGTTGACTTTCTTTGAAGTTTCTCTTCGTCTCCTCCTTTGCTGCTGCTGCTGCTGCGGCTGCTGCTGCTGCTGCTGCTGCTGCCGCCCTGAGGCTCCGTCTGCGTTATCTGCTGTCTGCTTCGTTTGCCTCTATTATCTGATTAAGGTGCCACCTGTTATTATTGTTACTATTATTATTGTTATTATTATTAGTCTTATTATTATTGTTATTATATTTATTTTATTTTCCAGAACCTGTTGAAAATAAACAATTTATATTTGATTAGATGGATTTAAAGAAAAACAAAAAGGCGAAGCGGCTGAGAAGTTTAAGGGGTGCTTCTGTGCTGCCTAAAAACCTTTTGGGGTTTCTTTTTGTTTCATTTTAAAAAAAATAAATGAAACAAAAGAGACCTTTTCTGTATTTTGCTGCTGCTGCTCTCGCAGCCTTTGTGTGGGCCGCTGGTGCTGCAGCCATGGCTGCTGCCTTGCTCGTTTTGCTGCTGCTTCTTGCTGCAGGGGCTCAGCGACGAGCAGCAGCAGCTGCTGCTGCAGCGGGAGATACGCAAGGCCCAGAGCAGGGCCCCTCAGGGGGCCACAGCAGCAGGACCCTAGAGCAGCCTTTGCTAGCTGCTGCAGCTTTCTGCTGCTGCTGCTGCTGCTGCTGCTGCTGCTGTTACGCGGTGCATGCGCCTCTTTGCCCTTTGCGGCTGAGCCCCCGCGGACTGGGAGCCCTGCAGCGGACTCTTTTGTCACTTTTGCTTCTCCTCTTCGCCATCTGCTGACTTCCCGTTTGTTTAGCTTCATGAGTCGCCGCAGCTAGCTAGCTAGCTAGCCAGCTAGCTACCGCAGCTAGCTAGCTAGCCACCGCAACTAGCTGGCCAGCCACCGCAGCTAGCTAGCCAGCCACCGCAGCTAGCTAGCTAGCCGCTGCTGCAGTGGCTGTTAACCATTCGATGGCTCGCTGCGCAGGCCCACTTGTGCATTGCGGCCAGCTGCTTTTCCTGCCGCTTTGCGCAGCGGCGCTGTTGCCGCTGCTGTTGTTGTTGCTGCTGCTGCTGCTGCTGCTGCTGCTGCTGCCGGTTGTCTGCGTTGTGGGTCTACAGCTGCGCTGCAGCAATTGGCACAGCTGCATGCAAAAACTCCCCCAGCAGCTAAGTAGGGCCCAGAGGAAAGCAGCCGGAGCAGCGCCCTCGCAGAAGCGCAGCAGCAGCAGCAGCAGCAGCAGTAGCAGCAGCAGCAGCAGCAGCAGGGGCTGCCCGTAGCTGTTCCTGCTGTCCTCCACCCCTGCCAGGCGCCGCGGGGCCCCCGAGGCACCCAGCCCCAGCCAGTTGCTGCAAGGCCAAACTTGGCTGCAGCACAACTGCAGCAAATTCTCTGCTGCTGCTCTACACACAATTTGTTTGTGGGAAACAAGAGCGCCACATCCTTGTTTGGTCCGCTGCCAACCCTCAAGGCGCTTGACCGGCTAGCTGTAGCTACCTTTGGCTAGCTGTGCCTAGCCACGGCTAGCCACAGCTAGCTGTGGCTAGCTGTGGTTGGCCCTGGCTAGCTGCGGCTGGCTGTGGCTAGCTATGGCAAGCTGTGGCTGGCATTTGCGAGCGGCGGCTCCGTGGGCTAGCTGTGGCTGGTTGTGGCTAGCTGCAGCTAGCCGTGGCTAGCTGTGGCTAGCTGCGTCAAGCTGTGGCTAGCTGTGGCTAACTGTCGCTAGCCACGGGGTTGCAGGGCAGCAACTGCCACTCGATGGGGCCCTACAGCTGCGCCTTCAAGCTGATGGCTTTTGTCTGGAGCTGCCCCTGTTTAGTTCTCTGTCCCTTCTGGGTAGCTGCAGCAGCAGCAGCAGCAGCAACAGCAGTACGAGCAGCAGCAGCAGCAGCAGCAGCACAACAATTACGCAAGAGACCGCCAGCCCCGTCGCGGGCATGGTCTAGTGGCTATGACGTCTGCCTAACACGCAGAAGATCCCGGGTTCGATCCCCGGTGCCCGTATTTGTCTTGCTGCTGCCTGTTTCCTTTGCTGTTTCCTTTGCTGCTGCTGCTGCTGCTGCTGCTGCTGTCGTGTTGGCTGCTCAACATTGGCTGCAGCCTTTCCCCTAGCACACAACTAGCTAGCTAGCTGATTGCCCAGCCAGCTAGCCAAGTTGTTAATCGGCTAGCCACGTGGCTGTCCAGTTTTCCAAGTAGCTGTCTAGGCTGCCAACTAGCCAGTTAGCTGCCAACGTGCTGGCTAGTTACTCAACTAGCCAGCTAGCTAGCTAGCTAGCTCGCCTGCTAGCTGCCGCCGTTTGTTTGACTACTTAGCTAGCTGGGGGCCACTTGGCTTCTACAGCAGCTACCGCAGCAACTGCTGCTCTTTCTAGGCATTATTTGCCCAAGGACTCTTGCCTCCAGGCCTGGGAGTTAGGGTTTAGGGTTTAGGGTTTAGGGTTTAGGGTTTAGGGTTTTGCTAGGCATGGCTCGCCCTGGGGCCAACCCTTTTATTTGACTTTATATCTTCCTCTAGGGCGCAGCCCCTTCAAGAGGCAGCAGGTCTGAGATGGCCTTCGGGGACGGAGGCCTCACAGGGCTGCTTACGGAACAGCAGCAGCAGCAGCAGCAGCAGCAGCAGCAAGAGCAGCAGCAGCGGCGGTAGCAGCAGCAGCGTGCAGCCCGTGCAAGTGCCCAGACTTCCCCATGTGGGGAAAAGCGGCAGACAATGTTCAGGGGACAGCGCCAGAGGAGCAGCAGCAGTAGCAGCAACAGCAGCAGCATCAGCAGCAACAAAAGGAGCAGCGGAAGCAACAGGAATCACCTTCGCAAGAATAGCAGCAGCAGCAGCAGCAGGAACGGCAGCAACTCAAATTCTTCCCTACTCTGTGGCGCGAAGCTCTTCTTTATGCTTCAGACTGGTTTGCTGCAGCTCTCTACACGGGCCCGAGGAAGCTGCAACAGCGTTGCTGCGGTGTGACTGCCTCTAAGCAGCAGCAGCAGCAGCAGCAGCAGCAGCAGCAGCAGCAGCAGCAGCAGCAGCGGCGGCAGTAGCAGCAGCGACGGGGCAGCGGCGCGGCCGTGTTTATATAGCAGCAGCGCCTGCTGCTGGCACAGCAACGAGCCTATCGATTCAGCAGCAGCAGCAGCGGCAGCAGCAGCAGCAGCAGCAGCAGCAGCAGCAAGGGCAGACGCAGAGCAACAAATCTACTAACTTATCAACAACTCTGGAACGGTTCATGCCTTGGCAAATAAATCCACAAAGTGGAGGCAAAGGGGACGCACTGCAGCGCTGCTGCTACTGCTGCTGCTGCTGCTGCAGTTGCTGCTGCGTTCGCAGTGCTACTGCTGCTGCAGCCCTCCCTGCACTGCAGCGCGTAACACTGTTGCTGCTGCAGCAGTTGCTGTCGCTGCAGTTGCTGATGCGGCCGCGGCTCCTGCCGTTGCTGTCGTCATTGCTGCATTGAGTGCTTTGCCTGTTGCTGCTGCCGCTGCTGCTGCTGCTGCTGCTGCTGCTGCAGCAGGGAGGGCAAGCCGACACGTCGTGCCCGTTTCAAATCGAGAGCCCCAGCGCAGGTTAGGCTGCCTCTGTCTCTATTTGCTGCTGAGGCTCAGCAGTGGTGTTGCGTCTCTTGCTGCTCCTGCTGCAGCTGCAGCAGCGGCCTCGGGGCCCCACACTACGCGCGAGGTGTACGTACACCTCCGGCTGTACGTACACCTCCGGGTGTACGTACACCTCAGGTGTACGTACACCTGAAGACCCCACAGGCCAAACCTCTCCCCCACTTTTCTCCCCAAACTGTCTGCGCCCCGAAGGCGCCTTTGGGGGCCCCCGGCTGTCCGGGGGCCCCTCACTTCTCCTCCTTTCCCACATGAGGCCCTCAGGCCCATTAACACCTGTTCAAGAATGAAGAGAGCTCCGCGCTGCTGCTGCTGCTGCTGCTGCTGCTGCAGCCGCTGCTGCTGCTGCTGCTGCAGCCGCTGCTGCTGCTGCTGCTGCAAGCTGCAGGCGTGGCCTGTGGGGTGCTGCTGTGGCTTGCTGGCAGCTAAATGGCCTGCAGCTGCGGCGCAGCACCCTGGACCCTCGGGGCCGCCAAGAACTGCTGTGGGGCGGAGGCCCCCGGGGATCCGATCCCAGCGATCCCAGCGATCCCAGCGATCCCAGCGATCCCAGCGGGCGGCGAGGGCTGGGGGGGCAGCAGCGAGGCCTCAATGATGCTGGTGGAACACAGAAAGTCGAGGTAGTCCCCCGCCAGCCCGGGGGGCCCCCTGCTGCTCGGCAGCAGCACAGAAAGTGGAGCAGCAGCAGCAGCAGCAGCAGCAGCAGCAGCAGCGCCGCTCTTCGAAGCGCACCCTCCTTCCGGGGCCCCAAGAGGGCCCCCACAGGGGCCCTCACAGGGGCCCCCACAGGGGCCCTCACAGGGGCCCCCACAGGGGGCCCCGCAGGGGCCCCCACAGGGGCCCCCGGGGCCTCGCCCCGAAGCGGCTGGCCGGGACAGGGGGGCCCCCACAGGCTCTGCTGCACCTGCAGCTGCAGCCGTAGCTTCCTCGACTGCTAGTGGCTTGGAGCTACCGGCAGCAGCAGCAGCAGCAGCAGCAGCAGCAGCAGCAGGTGCTGCTGCTGAAGAAGGGCCCCCGGGAGTGCCCACGGGGGCCCCTGGCCCCACAGCGCCGCCAGGGGCAAAGAGGGGGCCCCCACTCTGTGGAACAGGGGGGCCCCCTTCTGTCTTTTCTTTTGCTGCTGCATCTCCCTGCAGCGCAGCAGCTCTCCAGAGGAGAACTGCTGAGTCGGAGAGTCCCAAGAAGCACGGCCCCACGCATGAGGCTGCGTCCTGCTGCTGCTGCTGCTGCTGCTGCTGCAGCTGTTGCTGTTGCTGCTGTGGCTGCGGCTGTGGCTCTGCCAGTTGTTCCCGCTGCAGGTGCAGCTGCTCCGAAGGTCCAGCTTGTTGGAGCTGTTGTTGCTGGAGGTGTTGCTGCTGGTTCATGTGCAGCTGCTGCTGCTGCAGCTGCTGCTGCTGCAGCTGCTGCTGCTGCAGCTGCTGCTGCTGCAGCTGCTGCAGCTGCTGCTGGTGGGGAAGCTCTGGGACGCTGGGCCCCGCTGCCTCGGCAGCACGGCCCTCGGGGCTGCTGCGTGGCCCCAGAGAGAAGCTAAGGAGCTCGTTGCTGCTGCTGCTGCTGCTGCTGCTGCTGCTGCAGGGGACCTCAAGAGGCGCTGGGGAAGCCAGTGGCCACTTCTTTGCCTTCTTTTGCTGTGCCTTGAGGGCACCCTTCCCCTTGCCTGCTACGGCGGCGGCAGCAGCTGCTGCTGCAGCCGCTGCAGCAGCAGCAGCTGCTGCTGCAGCTGACGGCGGTGCTGCTGCACAGACCTCCACTTCAGCAGCCTTCAGGGGCTGCTCCTGAGGCCCCAGCTGCTGCTGCTGCTGCGTGAGCGCCCGCTGCTGCCACGCGGGCCCCTTGTGGGCGTGCGCGCTGCCCCTTGCTGCTGCGCCCACCACAGCAGCAGCAGCAGCAGCAGCAGCAGCAGCAGCAGCAGCAGCCTTCTTCGGGGGGGAGTAGGGGCCCACTTTTGCGGGGCTGCCACGCACAGCCAACTTGGGGGGCAGCAGCTCTCTCTGGCTTCGCCGCAGAGAAGCTGGGGGGCAGCCGGCGGCCCCCACATCGCTGCGTCTTCTTTGCTGCTGCAGCGCGGTGAAGGTCCACCTGCACTTTTGCTGCTGCAGGGCCTCGCTGGAAGCAGCAGCAGCAGCAGCAGCAGCAGCAGCAGCAGCTGACGCTGCGTGGCCGCTGGGCGCTGTCGCCGCCCTAGGGGTCTCCACTGTGAAGCGCAGCACCCCAACAGCAGCACCACCAGCAGTGGCAGCAGCAGCAGCGGGGCCTTGTCCTGCTGCTGCTGCTGGCAGAAGCTGCTGCTGGCCATCCGAAGCTGCTGCTGCTGCTGCTGCTGCAACTATGGGGCCCCTGGAGAGCAGCAGCTGCAGCACAGAGTACTTGCGGAGCCCTATTTCTTCTGTTGCATTCCTAGGCAGGGCCAGAGTCTCTGCAGCGGCCTTGGCCCCCTCAAGGCTGCAGCAGCTTCTTGCTGCTTCTGCTGCTGCTGCTGCTGCTGCTGCTGTTGCTGCCAGACTAGGGTCAGGCGAGCTAGAGCCCTTTTTGCCGAGGCCCACAACGCCTTCTGCCTGCTGCTGCTGCCCGTGGCCTTCTGCTGCCCCTGATGGCTGCACAGCAAAGGGCAGCTGGTGCTGCTGCTGCTGCTGCTGCTGCTGCTGCTGCTGCTGCTGCTGGCCTTGGGGCCAGTCGTTTCCAAGGGAGGTGGCAACGTAGCAGTTGCTGCTGCTACTGCTGCTGCTGCTGCTGCTGCTGCTTCTATAGTACTCGTCTAGGAAAGTGCAGGGGCTCCCCTGCAGTCTCTGTTCTTGCTGCGGCTGCCGCTGCTGTCCCAGGTGCTGCTGCTTCAGCAGCTGCTCCTGCTGCAGTTCCCCAAGCGTCTCCTGCTGCAGCTGCTGCTGCTGCGGCTTTTCTTCCTCGCAGCTTTTGGAAAGAGGGACTGACTGCGCCCCGTTCACCTGGATTGCTTCTTGCTGCTGCTGGTCTTGCTGCAGCAGCTGCTGCTGCTGCTGCTCTTGGTTCTGCTGTGACGGATTTTCCGAGTCAGCCGTTTCCTGCTGCGAGGCAGTGGCGTGGTCCAGGGGCTGCTGCTGCAGCGCAAGCTGCTGCTGCTGCTGCTGCTGCTGCTGCTGCTGATGCTGCTGATCCCCAAGCTTTTCTTCATTGGCGTTGGGAAATTCATATAGGTTTTGCTGTGGGTGTTGAGCCTGCTGTTGCTGGGGCCCTTGTTGCTGCTGTTGCTGCTCCTGCAGCACCAGGTGCTGCTGCTGCAGCTGCTGCTGCTGCTGCAGCTGCTGCTGCTGCTGCAGCTGCTTGTAAGGTGCTTCTACTGGGTCTTCCCAGGTAGAATGTTGCTGCAGCTCGTTGCTGCTGCTCGCTAAGCCCTCAGCTGCACCGCCGCGGTCCAAGCCAGCGTCGCCTAGCGTGTGAACATTTTCTGTTGCTGCTGCTGCTGCTGCTGCTGCTGCTGCTGTTGCTGCTGAATTGGCCGCGCATAAGCAGTCTCGCTGAGGCGCATTCTCTTCAACTTGTCCAGATTGTAAAAGGGAGAGGCCCCCCAGCAGCAGAGCGCCAGGCCACTTCCAGAAGCTGGGGCCGCTGGGCGCAGCAGCAGCAGCAGCAGCAGCAGCAGAAGCTGGGGCTGCCTCTGGAGCTGCTGCGCCAAGAGCTGTTGTGGGATCTGGGCCGATGGCGTCGGCTTCCGCTACAGGGTTTGTGTGAGCAGTGCTGCTGCTGCTGCTGCTGCTGCTGTTGCTGCTGCTGCTGCTGTTGCTGCTGCTGCTGTTGCCGCCTTTGCTGCTGCTGCTGACTAGCTGAATCTCTGCTGCTTCCTCTCGGTGCCTCCACGAGACAGGATAATAGCTGCTGATAGCAGCAGGAGCTGATTTGGAGACGCGTCGGTCTAGGGGAAACGGGGTCTCCGTGCTGCTGCTGCTGCTGCTGCCGTTGATATTGCTGCTGCAGTTGTTGCTCTCGTTACGGTTCCAGCTGCTGCTGTTGCTGCTGCTGCTGTAGCAAGTGTAGGGGCCTTGTGTCTCCCACTTGCGGAGCCCCCATAGAGATGCCGTGCCTCGTAAAGCCCCGTCTTGATCTAGCCTATTGCTGCTGCTGCTGCTAGCAGCAGCAGCAGCAGCAGCGGCTGCTGCTGCTGCTGCTGATGACTCGCGGGGACTTCCATTACCTGCGGGTGAGATTTGGGTCTCATTCGTCTGCTGCTGCTTCTCTGGCAGCGCAAGCATGTGGTGTTCGTGCAGCAGTGTCGGCTGCTGCTGCACGAGCTGTTGCTGCTGCTGCTGCTGTTGCTGCTGTTGCTGCTCCTGTTGCTGTTGTTGTTGCCCTTCAAAAGAGAAGTCAGCCGAGAAGCAATGCCTTTCTAGTACAGAGCCTTGGTCGTCGTGTTGCTGCTCTTGCTGCTGCTGCTGCTGCTGCTGCTGCTGCTGCGTAGTAACGGGGTGTCCTTGGTGCATCAGGGGCTCGTGCTGCAGCAGCAGCTGCTGGTTTCTATAGGAAGCAGCAGCAGCAGTGGAACACACCCGGGGGCAGTTGCTGCTGACGCCGCCGCAACTGCAGCTGCTTCCAGTCCTGCAGCAGCAGCTGCTGCTGTCGCTGCTGCAGCGTAGCTGCCCCGTAGGTGGTGGTAGCTGCTGCAGCAGATCCATTAAAGAGGACCCTTCCCTGGTAATTGTGTTAGAGTTGCTGACACTGCTGCTGCTGCTGCTGCTGCTGCTGCTGCTGCCGTAGAGCATCACTGGAGCCTTGCTGCTGCAGCAGACGCCAAAAGAATTTCCCGCAGCCTCTTCGCTGCTGGTGGGGGAGAGCACTGCCCCTGCAGCAGCAGCAGCAGCGGCTGCTGCTGCTGCTGCAGGAGACTCTCCTTGTTGCTGATGGAAGCTGCCGCTGAGCGGCGATAAGATGTGCATGCGTTCTGCAGATGGGCTTTGCTGCTGCTGCTGCAGCAGCAACAAGTGATGCTGCTGCTTCTGCTGCAGTGCTGCGCGCTCGTCCGGGGCAGGGCAGCAGCATCCCAGCGGCAAGGTGTCGTGGCCCTGCAGAGGTTTGTGCTGCAGCTGGTGATCCACCTGCTGCTGCAGCTGCAGCCGCTGCTGCTGCTCGTGCTGCTGCAGCTGCTGCTCCTGCAGCTGCAGCGGCTGACACGGGAGACTAAGTGCCGTTGGCTGCCGCAGCGGGACCTCAGGAATCCCCTCCACGGAGTGTCTAGCTGCGAGAAAGCTGCTGCTGCTGCTGCTGCTGCTGCTGCTGCTGCCGTCCATCCAAGAGCAGTAGCCTGGCTGGACCTCTGCATGGTTGCTGCTGCTGCTTGAGCCTTGCTGCAGCAGGAGCTGTCCTGCGAGCTGCTCGTCTGCTGCTTCGCCGTTGCTGCTGCTGCGGGGGATTCTAGCAAGAAGTTCGTATGGGGTGAGGTGCTGCTGCTGCTCCTGCTGCTTCTCCAGCGGCAGAAAAAGCTGCTGCTGCTGCTGCTGCTCGTGCTGCAGCAGCAGCTGCGGCGGCGGCTTCTTGACCAGCTGCAGCTGCTGCAGCTGCTCATCCTCCAGCAGCTCTTCGCCTCTTCTCTGTATGTGCACTTCATAGAGCTTCGTGCTGCCTTTGTAAGTTGGTCGTGAGTCCAGGAACGGGTTGCTGCAAAGACGCAGCAGCAGCAGCAGCAGCAGCAGCTTCAGCAGGAGCAGCAGCTGCTGCTGCAGCAACACCTGCAGCTTGAACGCGGCATCAAATGTGGCAGCAGATGCCACAGGCACGAAGGGCCGCAGCGTCACCTACACTGACAGCTGCAGCAACAACTACAAAAACAGCAGCAGCAGCAGCAGCAGCAGCAGCAGCAGCAGCAGCAGCAACGGCAGGCTCACGTGTCCAGCAGCAGCGGCTGCAGCAGCGGATTGACAGGAAAGTCAACTCGAAGTCCAAAGGGCGAAGGCCTTTTCCAGCGGCTTGGCGGCTTCTTGCGAAGAGTGCCGTAAGAGAAGGCTGGCTGCTGCTGCTGCTGCAGCTGCTGCGGGCGCTGGGTCTGCAGCTGCAGCAGCTCCTGCAGCTGCTGCTGCTGTGACGCCTGCTGCTGCCCGGCCTGCTGCGCCGCCTGCTGCTTCTGCTGCTGCTTCTGCTGGCGCTGCTGCAGCAGAGCCAGCCGCGCTGGCAGCTGTCTCAGGAGGAGCTGCTGCTGCTGCTGCTGCTTACCTTGCTGCTCCGAAGCAACAGCAGCAGCAAGGCCGTCTGACGAGGGCGACTCGAGCGCCGGCCACTGCAGCGCTGCGCTGCGGGCGGCTGCTGCTGCCTGCTGCGCTCTCTGCTGCTTGCCGCAGCCTCCAGCTGCTGCTGCTGCTGCTGCTGCTGCTGCTGCTGCTGCTCCCAGCGGCTTCCCCTTGACCTTTCCCGTGCTGTCCCCCATTTGTCTTTTTGCTGGAGACAGGGGGGGCGGCTGCATTCTGCGCATGAGTCTGCGGCGCTGCCTTTGGTGCTGCTTGTACTGCTGCTGCTGCTGCTGCTGCTGCTGCTGCAGCACAGAGGCTGCTGCAGGCAGATTAGCCGGAAGACTGAGGCCCTTCTTCAAGCCCCGCGGCAGCGCTTCGGGTGTTTCTGCAGCAGAGAGAGCAGCAGCAGCTGCAGCAGCAGCAGCAGCAGATCTTGCCTCTTTAAGTGAAGTGTGGCCTATTGTGCGAGGCCTCTGCCGCTGCAGCAGCAGCAGCTGCTGCTGCTGCGGTTGCTGCTGCTGTTGCTGCTCGGGTTCTTGTGCAGATGGCTCCCTTTGCGTCTGCCTCTGCAGCAGCTGCAGAGGCTCATGGTAAGCTTCCTGCTGCTGTTGGGGCTGCTGCTGCTGCTGCAGCAGCTGCTGCTGCTGCTGCAGCTGCGTCCTCCGACGCTGCTCAGACTTCACCTCAGACCCTCCCCATGGAGAGTTGTCCCCTTTGTGCTGCTGCCGCTGCTGCTGCTGCTGCTGCTGCTCTGTCTCTGAGGTGTCATCTTGCTTATGGTGCTGCTTCTGCTGTCGCTGCTGCTGTTGCCGCGGCTGCTGCTGCTGTTGCTGTTGCTGTTGCTGCTGCTGCTGGAAAAATATGGCTTGTTCTCTCTGTTCAGGTTCAGCTGCTGCAGAAGACATTTTGCTTCCGCTTTCTAGCTCCGCAAACGCGGCTTTTGCTGCTGCTGCTGCTGCTGCTGCTGCTGCTGCTCTGTCTCTGTTGACCCCGTACCTGTGTCTGCCGCTGCTGCCGCAACTGATCGGAAAGCTGCGTGCAAAGAAGCCGAGCTTCTGCTGCTGCTGCTGCTGCTGCTGCTGCTGCTGCTGCTAGCTATGCCATATCCAAAAGCTGTTGAGAGGTGAGGCAGAGCTTGAGACTGATGCAGGCAAATTCGAGGTTTTGCTGTTCAAGGCTTCAGCTGCCAGGGTTTGTGGTTTAGGGCCTAGGGTTTAGGGTTTAGGGTTTAGGGTTTAGCCGATCTTGACGCCCCTATTGTTATATGCTGCTTTCTGAAGAAGCCTTGAGGCTGCTAGGGACTTTTTCATCGCACTTCGTTGCAGGTGGTCTTGCTGCTGCTGCTGCTGCTGCTGCTGCTGCTGCTGCTGCTGGCGTCCCTGCTGGTCCTCTTTAGTGTGTCAGGGCCCCTGGAAGTACCTGCTGAATGCTGCGGAGGCAAAAAGGCCTCTTGAGGAGTCAAATGGAGTTGTTAGGAAACTTTGCGCAGGCGGCTGCGGTGTACGTACAGCTGCTGCTCCGCAGCAGACCAAAAAGAAAGAAAGAGACTCAAAAAACCTGGAAAAGCAGCAAGAAGTGAATGGAAAGAGTGGAGTTCGCGGAAAAGCGGAGCTGCCTCAGGTGTACGTACACCTGGGGGCAGCAGAACCAGTGGCCTCGTCGGCGGTCCGCTGCGCAGGCAAAAGGAGAGAAGAGAGTCTTAAATGGCAGATACCTGTGGTAGAAAATAAAGAATTTTGTCTAAAAAAAGTGAATATTACCTCTGAATTTCAGTTTTGAGGGTTTGTGACCGAGGGTTTAGGGTTTAGGGTTTAGGACGCCTGCCTGTCGGCAGTGGCTGGGGTGGCGCGGCGAGCGAAAGAGAGCGACAAGGGTTTGTTAGGTTTGCATGTTTGCAGAGAAATAAACAATTAAGAAAGAAGAAAATTTAATTTAATTATAAACAAAAAAGAAAACTTTCAACAGAGGCAACGCTAAGCAGCAGATAGAGCGCCTGCACGCCCCAGACGATCGCCACATACTGTGTGTGGGGCGCCGAGCAGCAGCAGCAGCAGCAGCAGCTGCTGCTGCTGCTGCTGCTGCTGTTGCTGCTGCTGCTGCTGCACGACCAGTGTTTCAAGTCCTCAGTGTAATGCACGGTGTAAATGCCCTCGTTAATACGTGGCTTGCTAGGGTTTAGGGCCTAGGGCGAGGGTTTAGGGTCTGGGGTTTAGGGTTTAGGGTTTAGGGTTATTTGCAGGTCACCAAGCTCTTTCGCTCCTTCCATTTGCCTGCTGCTCTTTCTTGAGCTTTCCCTGTAGCTCTGCTCGAGATCATTACATGAAACCCTAAACCCTAAACCCTAAACCCTAAACCCTAAACCCTAAACCCTAAAACCCAAGTACTGGGCTCTAAACGCTAAACCCTAGCCTCTATAACGAGTTGCTGCTGCCCCGTTTCCGCACCGCCGCCGCAAGGAGGGCTTCAGAGGCGCAGGCAAATGCTCCAAATCCCAAACCCTAAACCCTAAACCCTAAACCCTAAACCCTAAACCCTAAACCCTAAACCCTAAACCCTAAACCCTAAACCCTAAACCCTAAACCTTACATCCTCAAAACTAAACTCTGTCCCATCAGACGACAAGTACAGCTGTTTAGCCCCAGCAACCTGCTCTGCGCAAAGCAGCAAGCGGCCACTCGCAAAGTAGAAGCTGTTGCTGCTGCTGCTGTTTCGGCTGCTGTTGCAGCAGCAGCTGCTGCTGCGCCTGCTGCTGCTGCTGCTGTTGTTGCATTTTCTCGAAGGAGCAGCAGAAGAGTCCACCCTTAAACAGGAAATACCGAAGCTGCCAGAAATGCAGGTGGCAAGAAATAGGCAGCAGCTGCAGCAGCAAGAGCAGCAGCGGCAGCAAGAGCAGCAGCAGCAGCAGCAGCAGCAGCAACACCGACAGCAGCAACTCTTTGTGGAGAGGCAGTGGGGAGCATTCGCAGCAATATAAACCCAAACCCTACGCCCCAACTCGTAATAAAGCCTCGCAAAACCCTAAACCCTAAACCCTAAACCCTAACACCAATTGGTGTGAAAATGGTTCTTAGGGTTCGGCTCTTCGCCGTCACAAAGGCATTACAGCGTTTTGCTGGGCCTCTTTGGCTGCTGCTGCTGCTGCTGCTGCTGCTGCTGCACTGCTACTGCAGCTGCTGCAGCAGCAGGGAACATGAAACTCACTTTGCCCGTGTCATTTTGCACGCATTCATGCCTCGCATGCAGCATGGCCCCACCAATCAGCTGCTGCTGCTGTTGCTGCTTCTGCTGCTGCTGTTTCTTTTGAATTTGTCACTGCTGCTGTTGCTGCTTTTGCTGCAGCTGTTTCCTGCATCTGTTGCTGCTGCTCTCGCCACTGTGTCCTTTGCATTTGTAGCTGCTGCTCACGTAATTCATGCTGCTTTTTCCCTTGCTGCTTGCAAGGGCATTCTGCTGCTGGTGCTGTTGCTGCAGCTGCTGCAGCAGCTGCAGCTGCAGCTGCTGCAGCTGCTGCATGCAAACTCATGCATGCGTGCACATGTTTGGCTGTCTGTCCTTTCTTTGAACTTTCACAGCTAACCTTTTGGGATTCCTTCGCATTACTTTTTGCTGCTGGCCTTTTTCTGGAGAAACCCGGTGCTGCTGTTTACCTTTTTGCTGCTGCTTGCTGCTGCTTGCTGCTGCCTGCTGCTGCTTACTGCTGCTTACTGCTGCTTGCTGCTGCTTGCTGCTGCCTTCTCGTCAGGCATTGCCTGCTTCTGGCTCTTAATTTTGCTGCTTTCCTCTTGACTTTGGCCGCAGCAGCCCCTGGCCGTCAGCGTTAACCTTACGAGTGAGGAGGCGGCAGCAGCAGCAGCAGCAGCAGCAGCAGCAGCCCTGGCGCTACCATTTTCAGTTTGCACTTCAGCCCTGCAGCAGCAAGAGGCGCAGCAGCGACTGCAGCAGGAAAGGGCTCGGCTGCGCAGCAACAGGAGCAGGTTGAAGGGCGCCGCTGCTGCGGACTGAATCGACAGCAGCGACAGCAGCAGCAACAGCAGCAGCAACAGCAGCAGCAGCAGCAGCGGAGTGGGGCAGGGGCAGCGGACGCCAAGCGAGAATGCGTGTCCTTTGCATGCAGCAAGTAGAACTTGTGCTTTTTGGGGCTTCGAGGCCCTCGCCAGGGACAAACTGGCGGGGCCAAAAATGCATAAAATGCACGCTGCTGCTGCTGCTGCTGCTGCTGCTGCTGCGAGCGGCGCTGCAGCAATTGGGGCCCGGGGCCCCACAGCTGCTGTATATTGGCTGCTGCAGCCCCACTAGCCGCTGAGAGGGCTGTGGGGCAGCTGCAGCAAATGCCGGGAAAGAAGAGCTGCGGAGATGCTGGTGGAAGCTGAGTCGGGGCTGCATGCAGGCCCCTCTGCAGGTGTTAATTCAGTGCTGCAGTGCGCGCTTCTGCTGCTGTGGCTTGCTGCTGCTGCAGCGCAGCAACTCGCTGCAGAAGCGGGCTGCTTCTGCACCAGGTTGCTGCTGCAGCGGGTTCCTGCTGCAGCGGGTTGCTGGTGCAGCAGGCTGCTGCTGCAGCGGTTTCCTGCTGCAGCGGGTTCCTGCTGCAGCGGGCTGCTGGTGCGGCAGGTGCCGCCGGGACGGGTTTCCGCTGCTGCTGCTGCTGCTGCTGCTGCTGCTGCTGCTGCTGCTGCTGCTGCGGTTAAGAGCTGGTTCGGGAGGAGGGGGGGGGCCTGGTGAAGCGCAGGGAAACGTCTGGGAAGGTCCTGGCTGTGGTGACCTTGGGGGCAATTTCTCTGTAGCAGTTGAGCTCGGCCTTCTTCCTTGCTGCTGCTCTGGCCATGGGCAGCAGCAGCAAGTAGAGCAGCAGCAGCACGCCGAAGTGCAGCCACAAAATGGGGCGGCAGTTGCCAGCCAGCGGCCCGTCCACCACCAAGCCGTACAGCTTTTCAACTCCCACTGACACGAGGCCCCCCACGAGGCAGCAGACTCCGGCGAGTTTGCCGAAGTTCGCAGAAGTGAAGAGGGTTTTCGTGTAAATGAACATCTGCGAGACGAAAAGGGCCAAGTAAATGCAAAACAAAACCACAGACACCACCACGCAGCCCCCAGACCCTATCGAAACAAACATGTAACTCAACGCCCCCACCAAGTTCAGCCCCATCATCATGTACACCACCGGCACGAAGTCCGACCTGCGCCCGCACACACAGCCCGCTGCCAAGCGGTGGTCCACTGGTCACGCAGTGGTCCACTGGTCACGCGGGTGGTCCACTGGTCACGCGGTGGTCCGTTGGGTCACCGGTCGTGCGCTGTGGGGGGGCCCGGGATGTGGCAGCGGGGGCTTGTGGGAGGACCAGTGGTCACCTGGGGGACCAGTGGTCACGGGGGAGGGTTAAGGGGCTCTTGAGATGGCTAGGAGAGTCGCGAAAGGGCCAGAAGCCTCGGCGCAGCGTGGGAGCGTGGGGACTGGCTGGCGAGTTAGGGTTTAGGGTTTAGGGTTTAGGGTTAGGGTTTGGCCGTACACTCTGCCGATGACGACGCAGGGTAGGATGGAGAGGGGCGCGGAGACCTCGAGGACTCGGACAGCCTTTTTGGTGAGGAACTCCCTGGCAGTTTTGATGTAGTACAAGACGGAGATGCTGCAGACTGTGAAGTAAAGACAAACGGCCACGTAGAGGAAAGTGCAGGCCTCGAGCTTGAAGGGGCGGAAGTATTCTTCGTCAGTGACAGTGCTGAGGCCAGCAGCTCCTCCCGAGAGTCCCTGGGTGTCTTCCCAGCTGGAGAGGGTGCGCTGGAGCCTGTCGGGGCTGGCTGCTGCTGCTGCTGCTGCTGCTGCTGCTGCTGCTGCTGGGTTGGCCTGCTGCTGCTGGAGCTGGAGCTGCTGCTGCTGCTGGAGCTGGAGTTGCTGGAGCTGTTGCTGGAGGTGGTGCTGGAGCTGGATGGCCTGTGGCTGCGCCTGGAGCTGGAGTGCCTGGACCTGGGCGGGCTGCTGCAGCTGCTGCTGCTGCTGCTGCTGCTGCTGCAGCTGCAGCGCAGCAGGGTCGGAGCTGTTGGCGACGGAGGGTCGCTGCGAAGGCATGGAGCGGACCAGCACGAAGAGGTCCACGCCGATGAAGCCCTCGAGAGGCACGAGGAGCCCCACGAGCAGCAGCGCGAGCAGCGCAACAAAAGCAGCATAGCCGCAGCAAACAGCAGCAAAGCTGCAGCCGCGGGAGTGCAGCAGATTCAGCAGCGAGGGCGCCGCGTGGGAGAGCGAAGCTGCAGCCCCCAGCAAAGTCAGGCTAAACCCGAGGCCCCCCGGGAAGAGATTGGCCACGCAGAGCAGCGGCAGCTGCGTCAACCCGCTGCCGCCACCCAGCAGCAAAAAGGAAAAATAGTGCGAGGGGAAAGCAGCAGAAGAGGCCCCCAGCAGCAGCCAGGCGCCCACGCTCGCTGCAGCGCCCAACAGCGCAGTCACTTTGGGGCCCGCGAGGTCCACCAGCAGCCCCGCCACGGCCGTGGCCACCAGCCGCGCCGCGTACGCGTACGAGAACAGAGCCCGCACGGACTCTTGCTGCGCCACGG